TTGTACAACCTTGAGCAAGCCTCTCTGAGCCTCCATCTTCTTCTCTGTAAAGAACAATAGAAATGGCCCCTCAGGGTAACTGCGGGATCTAAATGGGATGAGATATATGGAAAGTGCCTAGCGTAGCATCTGGCTCTAGTAATAAATGTTACCGATTTTATCATTTTCCCTTAAGTCCGTACGTACTGAACCATGAGCCTCCATTATCTGGGGGCTGAGGGACTCCTGTAGGTTGAAATTTCCATAATCATAAGCATCAAAGACCATCTTTAAGGGTGAAATAAAAGACTTTGGACTGGCCAGGCATGGTGGCTCAAGCCTGTAATCCCAGTACTTTGGGAGGCCAAGGCAGGCGGATCACGAGGTCAAAAGATCGAGACCATCCTGGCCAACATGGTGAAACCCCGTCTCTACTAAAAACACAAAAATTAGCTGGGCGTGGTGGTGCACACCTGTAGGCCCAGCTACTCAGGAGGCTGAGGCAGGAGAATTGCTTGAACCCGGGAGGCGGAGGTTGCAGTGAGCCAAGATTGTGCCACTGCACTCCAACCTGGTGCCTGGCGACAGTGAGACTCTGTCTCTCAAAAAAAAAAAAAAAAAAAAAAAAAAAAGACTTTGGATTTAGTCATCCAAGGAATTTGAGAGCTGCTGGGGAAGTTTTACTGAGAGAGGAAGGGAGGAGAGAAGGATTCACCTCGTTATGTGCTCACAACCCTCAGCAAACATTACAGAGCCTTCCACGTGCCTGACTCAACACTTCCCAGAAGCCTTTGTGCTTCTCCCCCAGGGAGTGTGTAACCATAGTAACACAGGGAAACAGTCAGGTGACCGAGGATGCTGTGGCCGTCATCTCTGTTGAGAGGAGTCGAGGTCTGGGCTAGCTGGTTCCCTGTTTGTGTCCAGTATTTAGCAGAGTGCTTGGTCCAAAGTGGGACTCAATTCATGTTTGTGGGATTAATTCGGAGCTGTAGCATCTCTGTAAGGGACAGCTCAAAGCTGAGGGTAACCAGCTTGTCTTGAACTGGGAGGAGAAAGTTTCGAAAAAGAATTGGTGCTTGGGACTAGGTCTTGAAGGGCGATTAAAAATTTATAGGGTTGGCAAGAGAGGGAATGGCACATATCAAGAAAGGAGGCATGAAACTGTACCATGGATTCTAGGAATTCCCAGTCCTTTGGCACGGCTGGAGTGTGGGGACATGGGGAAAAGGGCTGGAGCGATACTGCAGGACTGTGGATTCCCTCTTTAGGGTTTGTGCTTTATGCAGGCAATGAACACTGTGAGGATCAAAGGGGTTAAAATATGTCAAATGCTGCAAACTGCTGACGCTTAGGAAGACGATGATAATGAGATCTTACCTTTCCTGAACCCACGTTGTGATTTGCAATTGAGAACCTCCTGTGAAACCTATGAAAACTACACCTGCCCAGGCTCAGCCTTGGAGGTTCGGAGTCATCGTGCTCAGGCAGGGGCTGGACATGTGTTTGGGAAGAGTTCCACAGGTGATTTTGATGCATTCATAACCCTGATTGAAAACTGGTAACCGGCCGGGCGTGGTGGCTCAAGCCTGTAATCCCAGCACTTTGGGAGGCCGAGGCGGGTGGATCACGAGGTTAACAGATCGAGACCATCCTGGTCAACATGGTGAAACCCTGTCTCTACTAAAAAAATACAAAAAATTAGCTGGGCATGGTGGCGCGTGCCTGTAGTCCCAGCTACTCAGGAGGCTGAGGCAGGAGAATTGGCTGAACCTAGGAGGCAGTGCTTGCGGTGAGCTGAGATCGCGCCATTGCACTCCAGCCTGGGTAACAAGAGCGAAACTCCATCTCAAAAGAAAAAAAAAGAAAACTGGTAACCTGGCAAATGTCCACCAAACTCACGAAGTCCAGCCAAAATGTCACTACCTCTGAGAAGCCTTCTTTGAGTGATGAGCAATCTCCATGGCAATATTTATTGAGCATCAACAAAGTGCCAGGCCCTGTGTTGGGCACCGGAGTACATGTTCTTTGGCCAGACTGATAAAACAGGCAATCTTAACACAGTGTGATAAATGCTAATGATAGGATAAAAGTGGGGTACTGTGGGAGCCCATGGGGGATACCTTACCCTGTCAGGGATGTGGTGGGGAAGTCAGGGAAGGCTTCCTGGAGGAGGGGCTATCTTAGCTACATACTGAAGGATAAAGAGGTGTTAACCAGCCTTGGGTGGGTGGAGAGTTGAGTTCCAGGTAAGTACCCAGGCATGATAGATTAGAGGGGATGAAGTTCTCACAGGCTTAAGCATGAGGTCCAAAGAAGTGGTAGGTGCTAGTGGCAAGACAACATGGCAAATGTGGGTGAGTCACCTCACTCCTGTATGTGCACCCAGCCCTTTGCCCTCACTGGAAGTGTGTGACATATCTCACTTTAGTCTTGGCTGACTCTTTTGAGACTGGGATCATAGAACAAAGAAGTCATGTGTGGAAACTACGCAGTCAGGGTCATGCTGCCTTGGGTTTAAATCCTAAATCTGCCAACTACCAGCTCTGTGAAGTTGGGAAATTTCTAAACCCAGATGGGACAGATGGGTCACACTTTCCCATCTGTCCAAATGGGGATGAAAACTCATACCTGTGCTTCCGAATCCGATTCTCTTCTGCTGCATATCAAAGCAACCTAAGAGTTTGTAGCTTAAAATAACCCATTGTTATCTCTCATGGCTCTGTGATTTGACTGGGCTCAGCCGTGTGGTTCTCACTGGGAGTCTTGTGCTATTATAGTCAGAATGCAGCTGGGGATACAGTCATCTGAAGGCTCAGCTGGGTCGGACATCCAAGATGGCTCCCACAGCGCTGGCAGCTCAGCAAGGGCTGTCGCTGGAATGCCCACATGTGGCTTCTCTGGGCTTCTCAGAGCATGGCAGCTGGATTCTGAGAGGGAGCACTGCAGAGTAAGTATTCCAGGAAGCAGGAAGAAGCTGCCAAGATAGATAAGGACTGTGCCTGGGACTGGAACATCATTACTCGCTCTGTACGCTACTAGTAGTCAGGGCCTGCTCATATTGAAGGGGATGCAGAAATAAACACCAGTGGATTAGGAAGGTGCATGGTGATATGGTTGTGATCATCTCTGCAAAGTCTTCTGTGAGGATTCAGTAAACTAAGGCATGAGAAGTCCTCAGCACAGTGCCTGTCACATACGAAGTCTTCTAAAGTGTGTGGACTCTTCTTGGCCTTCATCTTGACATTCTCAGCACCAACCACAATGCCTGGTAGGCAGTAGTGGAGCTTTATAATTTTTAAATTAGATAGGGGAGAACTGCCTGCTATTTAGTGATGCTTAATTGCTATGCAGCCCAAAAGTATGCACTTTAATGCCTGTCATTAAACAGGGCAGATCAGCTTCAGTCTTCTATTAAATTAACTCGAACGCTAAACATGAAAGCTCAGTCTGCATTATTTGTTGTGCGTGCAGAATCACCGCCCACTTAAAAGTGGGGAACAGGCCAGGTGCGGTGGCTCATGCTTGGAATCCCAGCACTTTGGGAGGCTGAGGCAGGTGGATCACCTGACGTCAGGAGTTCAAGACCAGCCTGGCCAACATGGTGAAACCCCATCTCTACTAAAAAATAAAAAATTAGCCAGGCGTGGTGGCACATGCCTGTAATCCCAGCTACTCAGGAGGCTGAGACAGGAGAATCACTTGAACCCTGGAGGTGGAGGTTGTAGTGAGCTGAGATCGTGCCTCTGCACTCCAGCCAAGGTGACAGCAAGACTGCCTTTAAAAAAAAAAAAGTGGGAATAAATTAGAGGAAACATCTGGGAATGCAAGAAAAAGTTGGAAAGAGCACTGGTTTCAGATTTAGAAGACCTGGCTTTGATTTAGGGGCCTCAGAGCCACTCTGTGTATCAGTCTCCACATCTGCAAAATGGGGTTCACATAGCTTGCCTCATAGGACTGTGCAAGGACTAAATGAAATGATACTTTTTGAGGCATTCGGTGCCCATTAGTGGCCTCTGAGATAGGCTGGGAAGAAAGTGGTTGGACCTGGCATTTGGGGGCATTGGCAGACAAGAGCAAACAGCACTTTGAGCCAGGACCTAGTAAAAACAAAACCAAACCAAAACCCCTCCGGGTTGCCCTCTGCTTAGTCCCACCCTCTTTGTGCGTAGCCCTCGGCCAGCCAGTGTCCCCTCAGGTTCCCAAAACAGAGCTCTGTGAACAGTTGCAAGGGACAATAAAAATTGCTAACAAGTGTTTCCCAGCTCTGGCCACTTGTACTTAGTTCCAGCTGCAAGAGATGATTTGGTGCTGAATTGCACAGGTGGTCCCCCATCTCCCCACAATGTATCTCTAGAAAAACCATAAAGTTGATTATCAACCAGAAGACAGATCACCACTGATGTTTGTGTGCTTGACATGTTTGGCCAGAAGGTTTGACATTGGCCCGTGAGGGCATGGTGACATTCGATGGTTCAGGCAGTGAAGCTCTAGACTGTTGACTCCCATCTTCTGATAACTTCCTGTGTGATTATTTGCCACATATCCCAGGTAGATAGACTGTGGGCTCCCTGTGGACACTGCTTTGAGGATGCTCTCTCTTGGTTGTAACTTGCAGGTGGGTTGCATCCTCCTGCTTTTGGCTGTACCTATAGAAGGGGTGGGGCAAAGGGAGGAGCCTGTAATTCCTTAAGCAGTGAGAAGGTCTGCATTAAGGCCGGTTTTGCTTTACTTGACCTCTGGAATAAGCAACTGGGATTCTAGCTGCTGGTCTGCCTGCAAATGATGTTGTCCAGACCTCAGTGATTGCATCTGTGAAATGTTCACACAGAAATGGGTTTGAAATGTTCAGAAAGGCCGTCAAACACCACACAAGTGTAGGGCATCATTAGTCTTTGTGCTAATGCTTTCTGCCAGAACTGGTACTTCTGTGAAGCTACCAGCAGAGAAAGGAGAGAAAAAAGGGGAGAGAGAGAGAGAGAGAGAGAGAGAGAGAGAGAGAGAGAGAGAGAGAGAGAGAGAGAGCGCGCGCGCGCGCGAGCGGGAGCGAGAGCGAGAGCACATTGCCGTTTGTTATGGGCTGACTTGTGCCTCCCTGGCCCGCCACCAAATTCATATACCAAAGTCCTAACCTTCAGTACCTAGGAATGACTGTGTTTGGGGACAGGGCCTTTAAATAGGTCATTAAGTTAGAATGGGGTTGCTAAGGTGTGCCCTAACTCAATATGACTGGTGTCTTTGTAAGAAGAGGAGATTAGGAACAGGTGACGCAGTGAGAGGGCGACTAAGTGAGGACACAGTGAGGTGGTGGCCATCTGCAAGCCGAGAGCGAGGCCTCAGAAGAAACTCAATCTGCCGACACCTTGATCTTGCACTTTGAGCCTCCAGAACTGTGAGAAAGTAGGTTTCTGTTCATGAAGCCACCCAGTCTGTGGTGCTGTGTTAATGGCAGTGCCAGCAAACCAATATACCATTTACCTTTTGCATTCAGAACCAATCAAAAATTCTTTCAGAAAACAAATCCCTTACTCATTCTGAAAATATCAAAAGCATTGTTTTAAAAAAATTAAACTGTTTATCCTTAAAACTTGGGAATATCGCTTTGCCTTATTTGTGAATGTAAATATAAGACTGTAAATGTTATAGTAACAACTAAAAGGAAACAATGACAAAAGCCTTTTAACTAAGGCTTAAGCTTGCTTGTTCCCTATCTGAAACTTCGTTCCCTTTGACCAGCATTCCTCTCGTGTCCCCTCAGCCCCTGGCAACCACCATTCTATTCTGCTTCTCAGTGTGACTTCTTTAGATGCCACATATAAGTGAGATCGTGCAGGATTTGTCTTTCTGGTGCCTGACGTTTCACTTAGCAGAATGCTGTCCAGGTTCATCCTTGTTGCAAATGACAGGATCTCCTTTATTTTTTTCTTAAAGTGAAGCATCATTCCACTGTATGCCCATATTTATTTATTTTCTTTTTCTTTTTTTTCTCTCTCTCTTTTTCTCTATGGCACAATCTTGGCTCACTGCAACCTCCACCACCCAGGTTCCAGCAATTCTCCTGCCTCAGCCTCCCAAGTAGCTGGGATTACAGGCGCCTGCCACCACACCCGGTTAATTTTTGTATTTTTAGTAGAAATGGGTTTTCACCATGTTGGCCAGGCTAGTCTCGAACTTCTGACCTTGTGATTTGCCTGCCTTGGCCTCCCAAAGTGCTGAGACTACAAGCGTGAGCCACAGCACCAGGCCCACATTTTCTTTATCCATTTATCTGTTGATGGACATTTAGGTTGCTTCCATTTCTTGGTTATTGTGAATAACGCTGCAATGAACATGAAGTGTAGCTACGTCTTTGACATGCTGAGTTAGTCTCTTTGGGTATATACCTAGCAGTGGGATTGCTGGATCATAGGGTAGTTCTTTTTAATTTTTTGAGGAACTTCCTGTTTTCCATAATGGCCTTACTAATTTACATTCCCACCCACAGGGTGCAAGGTTCCCATTTCTCCTTATCCTTGCCAGTACTCTTCTTTTTTTTGAGAATGGCTGTTCTAAGAAGTGAAAGGTGATATCCCATTGTGGTTTTGATTTGCATTTCCTTGGTGATTAGTGATGCTGAGCATTTTTTAATATACCTGTTGGCCATTTGTCTATCTTTTTTTTTTTTTTTTTCATTTGAGACAGAGTCTCGCTTCATTGCCAGGCGCCAGGCTGGAGTACAGTGGCACAATCTCGGTTCACTGCAACCTCTACCTCCTGGGTTCAAGCAAGTCTTCTGCCTAAGCCTCCCGAGTAGCTGGGACTACAGGCATGCACCACCACGCTCAGCTAATTTTTGTATTTTTAGGATGGGATTTCACCATGTTGGCCAGGATGGTCTTGATCTCTTGACCTCGTGATCCACCCGCCTTGGCCTCCCAAAGTGCTGGGATTACAGGCGTGGGCCACAGCACATGGCCCGTATATCTTCTTCTTCTTTTTTTCCCAAGCCAAACTGTATCCAGCTTTATTAAAGATACTTTCCATAAACAATCATGGTATTTCAGGCAGGACATGGGTAGACAATCATTAACAGTATACAACAACTTTCAAACTCCCTTCTTTGATGGACTACCAAAAATTAGAAAGCCACTGTAAAACCCGATGAAGTCTTCATCTGATGCTCTGAACAGGGAAAGTTTAGAGTGAGGGTTGACAGTTCACATTTAGCACGTTGTTTAACAACTTTTCATGAGCCGACCCTGTCTTTCAGGAAGTGAAATGAAAATGGCAGAATTTATCTGAAGATCCACAATCTAGAAATGGAATCACTGCTCTTTTGACAGGTGCCATCTCAATGGCATCACTGGCAAGTCCAGATTGCCTGACACACTGTAACCAATGACTGGGGGTCAGGTCCCAACAGATGTCTGGGCTTAAGGGAGTTAAGTCTATGCTCAAAGACAGAAAGGGAGAAGAGGACATGAAAATGAATTTGTTTTTCCATACCACAAGGCTTTTGTGTGCCAAGGTGGCCATGTGTGTCAAACTTAGGGAATCCCTCCTCTTGGGAGCGAAGAGGAAGTCTCTCAAAACTAGAAGGGAAAGTCATTTCCCCACATCAGTCCAGCTTTGGAGACATTCTATTAGTGACATATGCCCCTTCCCCCAAAACAACAATGAAGTGTTCTGCGTGCTAACAACATAGCTTAAAAAAAAAAAAAAGTAAAACAAAACTCTGCATTTTTATAAAACTTGATAAAAAATAGTATTTCAAACTGTACAGTCACCAGAAGTACACAGTTATCAAAAATGCGCACACTTGACTCGGCGTCTCCAGCACCTTCGGCTTCCTGCGCCTGGTCTGTTTTGGCATCTCTGTTTCCTGCAGGGTTATTCCCTTCCTTGCCAGCATCAGCTTTTCCCTTTGGGTACCTTCTCTCCCTTCTTTGCAGGGGCCTTTTTAGGCTTGGGCTCTGGCTTTGGAGGAGCAGGTTTAGCAGGCAGCCTCTCGGATCTTCCCTGTGGTTCGTCCTTCACCCTGGCTTTATCTCCTTTAGCATCCCCTTCAGCCTTTCTCTTGGGCATGGTGGTGACGGCGGCGGGACGTAGGCGCTGGGTGCGGGATGCAGCGGCACGTGGGCTTCGGTTGGTCTGGGGGTCCACCTCCTCTTCACCTCCTCCTTCGCCTCCTCCTCTTCACACTGCTCCATCTTCTTTTGAGAAATGTCTGTTTAGGTTCTTTGCCCATTTTAAAATTATGTCGTCTTTTTCTTGAGTTCCTTATATATTTTATTATGTTTACCCCCTTATTAGATTTGCACTTAGCAACCATTTTCTCCCTAAACTTAAACGTTTAGTTAAGACCAAGTTTAAGTGCTCAGGAATTAAGGATCATGCCCTTAACTTGCAGGAGAGGCTGCCCTTCAGCCCGTGCCAGCTCTCATTTTATATACCACTCCAACAAGTCTAGTGAAAAAGAAGAACCCTTCACTAGAAGAGGTTAGGCTGCTGCAGAAGGAGATGTACGATCATAAACGAGGGACTGTACTATCAGTCTGGACAGTGAGGAAAGAGCCTGTACATCTATGAAAAGTAGACATAGGAATTAAGAATGAGGCCTTTGGGGTGGGACTTTGCTGAATTACAACACTGTTCATAATGATCATCATCCCTTATTTTTTTTAATTTAATTTATTTTTTAGAGACAGGGTCTTGCTCTGCTGCCCAGGCTGAAGTGCAGTGGCACTGTCAGAGCTCACTGCAGCCTCGAACTCCTGGGCTCAGGCGATCCTCCCACCTCAGCCTCCCGAGTAGTTGAGAATATAGGCGTGTGCTACTACCACACTAGGCTAATTTCTCTGTTGTAATTCTTTTTTTGTAGAGATAAAGCCTTGCTATGCTGCCCAGGCTGGTTTCAAATTCCTGGCTACAAGCAGTCTCGCCTGTCTCCCAAATTGCTGGGACTACAGGCACTGCCATCATGCTCAGCTATCCCTTATTTTTAAAGAGTTAAAGTCCAGTGCTATTTAAGAAACCATGGAAGACTATTACATGTTATACAGTCTCTAAGTATGGTGAAAGAATGTTCTGAAATTGTGTAAGACAGCAGAATAGTGTGACTGCGGCCGGGCATGGTGGCTCACGCCTATAATCCCAGCACTTTGGGAGGCCGAGGCGGGTGGATCACGAGGTCAAGAGATCGAGACCATCCTGGTCAACAAGGTGAAACCCCGTCTCTACTAAAAACACAAAAATTAGCTGGGCATGGTGGTGCGTGCCTGTAGCCCCAGCTACTTGGGAGGCTGAGGCAGAAGAATTGCTTGAACCCAGGAGGCGGAGGTTGCAGTGAGCCGAGACCGTGCCATTGCACTCCAGCCTGGGTAACAACAGTGAAACTCCATCTCAAAAAAAAAAAAAAAAAAAAAGTGACTACAAGAAGTTCTCTCCGTGTAGGCTAGGAATGCAAATGTAAATTCTCATTTTTTTTTTCCTACTACACATAACTATAGATGTAAATTTTCACAATAATCTTGTTGGTGAAAATTTGTAAGAGTGATTTGCTGGCAGGCAGACATTGAGTAGATGGTAACCTTTAAAGACTGAAATCCATTTCCTTACATTTAGCTTGCTTTCTTTATCCATGAAATCTTTCATAAATGACGACCAAAGGTGACCACATTTCCTCCCAAAAAACAAAAACAAAAACAAGACAAAAAAAGACAAAGGCAATAGGCGCAGTCCTCTCAGTGGTCCTCATGCAATTGCCTGGGCTGCTTGTCTGTCTTTGCAAAGAGGCTGGAAGATTTAAATTTTTCCACAAATAGGATCCTGATTTTTTCAACCTGCTAAGACTACTGCTTTATTTTGCTTTTTAGTTAAAAATATTTATGAATGTATTTTATGCTTACTGGAGATTATGAATGTATTTTATCCTTACTGGAGAAAATTGGGAGAAAGACAGAAAAACAAAAAATCATCCCATGATCCTGCCACTCTTTACTACTCAAGTTTGCTCTGCCTTTTGTAAATTCAAAGTTACACCAAACACTTTCTACTGAAAAGCCCTCATGAACAGTTTTCAGTGGCAGTGATATTTTGTGTGTACAACTTTTCTCCATTATAGTTTTAGAAAGACAGGCTAACAACTGATCTTCGATTTCACAACCATTCTAGCGACGGTGGTTCAGCCCAGCTTGAGAAATGTATCTGTTAAAAATACAAAGCAGAGTCATTAATAATCGTGTTAGCTGATTCTGAATAATCTTGGGAGGGGTACTGGGAGTATATTAATTTCTAAAGGCGCGCTGAGTAGATGTAACTACGTACATAAACATTCTCCTACTGTTAGGGCTCTAGGCTGAAGCTGACTCCAGTTCCCTATTATACATAAGACAGGACTAACATGTTTGTGCGTGACTCTTAAACTCCCAAGAGATACACCCCCAAATCAAGGGGACAAACATAGATGGCTTTTCACATATAACGCCAAATAGATTTCTGGAACTGTACCACCTTATCCCCACGCCTTGCAGGGTTTTCACCTGGTTCTTTTCCTCATAGTCCAGGTGTTTTCAGCAAACTAGGCTGGAGGAGTTGGGACGGAGTGAGAAAATCCCAGTGTCAGCCCAAGGTATTCTACCTCCTCCCTGTGTAACCATGGGCAAGCCACTGCCCACTCAGTGAAGCCTCCATTGTCCCGATCAGATAAATGGAGTGGTGGACACCTGCCTAATGTAAGGCAAAGATTTTTTTTTTTTTTTTTTTTTTGAGACCGAGTCTCGCTCTGTTACCCAAGCTGGAGTGCAGTGGCATGATCTCAGCCTACTGCAACCTCCACCTCCTGGGTTTGAGAGATTCTTCTGCCTCAGCCTCCTGAGTAGCTGGGATTATGAGCACCCACCACCATGCCTGGCTAATTTTTTGTATTTTTAATAGAGATGGGGTTTCACCACGTTGGCCAGGCTGGTCTCAGACTCCAGACCTCAGGTGATCCACCCACCTCAGCCTCTCAAAGTGCTGGGATTTACCTGAGCCACTGTGCCTGGCCAAGGCAAAGATTTTTTGAGGAGCAGCTGATACTATGTATGAAACTCAAGTATAAAGTTTTAGGTCGAATTGTATGAAATTGCCATTTTTTGTAGGACAGAGCCGAATGGTGGCCATTTCACATGGCTCAACCTAATACCATATCATTAAATGGTTGAAGGTTATTAGGCTCCATAGCTCATAAACAGTAATTTCTGTGTTCTGGAAACCCATGTGCTGGTTGTTTTCCCAGGTACCCAGTTCATCAGCCACCTGGTAGCTGCTGTTTATCAAGCACTTTTCTGAGTCTATTTCTGAGCACCGTAGATGCATTCAGAGATTCAGTTCTTCACCTTCAGGTCCCTGCCGGCTTCATCACCCAGCTGCAGCCTCCTGCACCTTCTGGCAGTCTCCCATCCCCACGGCTCTCATTTCACAGACCTCTCTCAAGCTTGGCCTCTCTGTTGGTGTCGTCTAACTTGCTAACCCTTCACAGTGTTCCAGGATTCTTCATTACCTTCCCAGTCTCTTCTCTGAAGCAGACACTGAATTGAACACATACTATATTCCAGGCACTGTGCTGAGCTCCAGAGGGAAGATGGAGATGAAACCTCACCATCCCAGCACTCCAAAAGATCACAAACCAGATGGGACAGAGGTGGTAGCATGGCAGATGGGAGAAGGGCTACAATGGACATTTTTTTTTTTTTTTTTTAGACGGAGAGTTGCTCTGTCACCAGGCTACAGTGCAGTGGCGCAGTCTCAGCTCACTGCAGCCTCTGCCTCCCAGGTTCAAGCAATTCTTACGCCTCAGCCTCCCAAGTAGCTGGGACCACAAGCGCGTGCCATATGCCTGGCTAATTTTTGTATTTTTAGTAGAGACGGGGTTTCACCATGTTGGCCAGGATGGTCTCCATCTCTTGACCTCATGATCCATCCACCTCAGCCTCCCAAAGTGCTGGGATTACAGGTGTGAGCCACCGCGCCCGGCTTACCATGGACATTTAAAAATATCCCACTTTTTTTCTTTTAAAATCAACTTTATTGGCTGGGTGTGGTGGCTCATGCCTGTAATCCCAGCACTGTGGGAGGCTGAGGTGGGCAGATCACGAGGTTAGGATATCAAGATCAGCCTGGCTGACATAGTGAAAGTCCATCTCTACTAAAAAATACAAAAAAATTAGCCAGACATGGTGGCGCATGCCTGGAGTCAGAAGGCTGAGGCAGGAGAATCACTTGAATCTGGAAGGTGGAGGTTGCAGTGAGCCAAGATTGTGCCACTGCACACTCTAGCTTCGGTAACAGAGTGAGACGTTGTCTCAAAAAAATAAAAATAAAATCAAGGTATAATTTATATTAAAATACACCCATTTTAAGTGAATAGTTTGTTTTTGACATATGTCTACACCCATACACCACCACCACAGTCAAGATGTAGAATATTTCTGTCACCTCAGAACATCCGTGTGCCCCTTTCTAAGGCAACCACTGATCTGCTTCCTGTCACTATAGCTTTGCCTTTTCTAGAATTTCATATAAATAGAATCAAACAATGTTTTTGATCTGGCTGCTTTCATTCAGCATCATGTTTTGGTGATTCATGCACATTGTTGCCTATATCAGTAGTTGGTTCCCTTTTGTCTTGGGGCAGTATTCCATCGTAGAGACACACAATGTATTCATTCACCATCTGATAGACACTTGGGTTGTTTCCAGTTTGGGGCAACTATGAGTACAGCTGCTATACATATTCTTGTACAAGTCTTTTTGTAGATGTATTTCTCCTGGGTGAATATCTAGGACTGGAATTGCTGGGTTGTAAGTAATTATACCATTTTATACTCCCACCAGCAATGTATAAGAATTCCAGATGCTGCATGGCCTCACCAACACCTGGTATTGTTAGGTTTTGTTTTGTTTTTGCCCTTCTAGAGGGTGTGGTCTTAATTGCACCGTCTTTGATATCTAAGTTCTTTTTCTTAAATGCCAGGAGTTTAGGTCTGGTCCTCACGTGCGTGTTCTTTGGCACTTAATGGCCAATTTACCTAGAGAGAGGGACGCCACCTCTCTAGTGACTGTTTGCCTTTATGACAACATGGGAGAATTCTCCTAAGTTAAAATGGCTGGAGGCCAGATGGCTCATGTTTCTCCTCCACATTCAGCTTTCCTATTGCAATGGCCAAAGACAGGTCACGCGGTGCTCCTTGAAAACCCATCCTCCCAGCTCTCTTTTTCTAGGATCTTCCCGTGCTGTTGCCACCTTCAGCAATAACTTTAGGAAAGCTCAAGTCACTCTCAAATAGGCTCTCAAAATTTCCCCTTTTCTACCCTCCTACTGCTAAATAGCATTAGTGCTAAAGTTAGCTCCTCTCATCATCACTACCGTCTACGCAGTTGGTAACCTGCTTGAAAGCTTTTGCCAGGATGTCCTGTGTAATAGTGACAATGCATGTTCTTGCAAGTAATAGAAATTAAGTGGGTAGAATTGCTCATGTAATTGCAAAGTCAGAGCTTGGTAGCTTTCAGGGCTGAACTGATTCAATGGTTGAATGATGTTATCATTGTTAAAGTTTCTTTTTTATTTTTCTTTCGAGATGGAGTCTTCCTCTGTCTGTCGCCAGGCTGGTGTTCAGTGGTGCTGTCTCGGCTTACTGGAAGCTCCCACGGCCAGGTTCAAGTGACTCTCCTGCCTCAGGCTCCCAAGTAGCTGGGATTACAGGCACCTGCCACCGCGCCTGGCTAAATTTTGTATTTTCAGTAGAGACGGGGTTCCATCATGTTGGCCAGCCTGGTCTCGTATTTCTGACCTCGTGATCCGCCTGCCTTGGCCTACGGAAGAGCTGGGATTACAGGCGTGAGCGACTGCACCCAGCCCGTTGATGAAGTTTCTTTCTACCTCTTTGCTCTTCCTTTGTTATTGTTATCCTATGACTGACTCCCCCTTGTGGTCACAAAATATTTGCAAACGACTTCCTGGCTACCTATTTTCTCACCCAAGGAGAGGACCGTTGTTTCTAAGAGTTCCATCAAAAGAGCCGCAGTCATGCGCAGTAGCTCACACCTGTAACCCTAGCACTTTGGGAGTCTGAGGCAGGTGGACTCAGCCTGAGAGGCTGGCAGACCGGACAACATGGCGAATCCCTGTCTTTACAGGAAATACAAAAATTAGCCAGGTGTGGTGACACATGCCTGTAGTCCCAGCTACTCGGGAAGCTGAGGTGGGAGGATCATCTAAGCCCAGGGAGGTCCAGGCTTCAATGAGCCATGATTGTGCCACTGCACTCCAGCCTGGGTGACAGAGTGAGACCCTGTCCTCCAAAAAAGAGTAAGCATGGATTTAATAATTTCACAATGTATACATATATCAAAACATCACGCTGTGGCAAGGCGCACCACGTGCCTAATCCCAGCACTTTGGGAGGCTGAGGCACAAAGATCGTTTAAGCTCAGGATTTTGAGACCAGCCTGGGCAATGTAGTAAGACCTCATGTCTACGAAAAGATTGAAAAATCAACCAGGTGCAGTGGTAGATGATTGTGGTCCTAGTGGTCCCAGCTAGGCTGAGCTGAGAGGATTGCTTGGGCCTTGGAAGTTGAGGCTACAGTGAATCACAATGGTGCTACTGTACTCTGGGTAACACAGTGAGACTCTGTCTCAAAGAATACATAAATAAATAGAAAAGTCCCCAAAGCCACATCACATTGTACCCATAAAATACATACAATTGTTGCCAATTAAAACAAAAAATGTTAAAAAAGAAGGAAAGGGAAATCATTTATTGTGCCAGGTGCTTTAAATATAATACATTAACCCCAGCAGTTTTTTTTTTTTTTCTTTTCCGGGGTGGGGGGGTGGGGACAAATTTTCGCTCTTGTTACCCAGGCTGGAGTGCAATGGCGCAATCTCGGCTCACCACAACCTCCACCTCCTGGGTTCAAGCAATTCTCCTGTCTCGGCCTCCTGAGTAGCTGGGATTACAGGCATGCGCCACCATGCCCAGCTCATTTTTGTATTTTTAGTAGAGACGGGGTTTCATCATGTTGACCAGGATGGTCTCAATCTCTTGATCTCGTGATCCACCCGCCTCGGCCTCCCAAAGTGCTGGGATTATAGGCGTGAGCCACCGCACCCGGCCAACCCCAGCAGTTAATACGCTTGCTTGTCACACTTGCTAGATGACTTTTATAACATTTTATAGAATTGCTTAACCTCTTTGTACCTCAGTTTCCTTATCTGTAAAATGAAGGTAATCTAGTATCTACTGTGCAGGGTGGTTCTAAGAGTTAAATGAGATAATAGATGGAAAGCCCTTAGTACAGTGCCTGGCATAAAGGGTCAATGTGTATTAGGTGACACACAGGCACACAGCATGCTTCTTTCCCAGAACTCCCAGGCAAGCCCCGGGTCACATGACCATCTCTGAACCAATCACTGTGGTGGAGGGTAGTTTTATGCTGATGAGCTGAAGCAGGGCCCAGGCACCATTCCTAGAGTCCCAATGGAGTTGGCGGCTCACAAAACACTGGGGCTATTAGAGGGCGGTGTGGATACTGAATAAAAACTAGGGCAGTTTGAAAATATGAGGGAAAAAAAGCTGTTGGGGAGGCAGCCACAAGGTTCTCTATGCCCTGGATTCATTTAGCTATTTTGAATAGTTGCAAAAACAGTTCCACCATAGATAGGAAAGTCTTCTCAAAACATATCTTCCAAATGGAATATCTCTTTAGTCAACACTTTTCTTCCCACTTACCTGGCTAAGTTTCTGAAAAGTCATCTCTCTGTGATGCCAAGCACTTTTCCCCAAACATACCTTCTTTTATTTTTCTTTATTTTTTAAATTTATTTTAAGAAAAGACAGGATTTCACCATGTTGGCCAGGATGGTCTTGATCTCCTGTCCTCGTGATCAGCCCACCTCGGTCTACAAAAGTGCTGGGATTACAGGCGTGAGCCACCGCATCCAGCCCTATCTTCTTTTATATATACCAAAAACCCAAGTTTATATATCCCCCAACTTACAACAACATACATTATAATCTTCTCCATTATTCTAGGTCATCGTCAGCAACGGAAGTTACCTTACCTTCCTTCCCAGTTTTCTGCTTACAATTCACATTTGGCGGCAGATGTTGCCAGCAGAACGTGAATGTGCAGCCAAGTTAACAAATGCTCAGGCTGCCAGCTTTCAGTGCGCGCATGTGTGTATGCATGTGCTTGCATGTAGCGTGTGTCCAGATTTTTCTTCTGTGAAAACTTTTCAATTAAATTTCAATAAAACCTACTTTTTTTTTTCTGTGAAAACTCTTTTCAATCAGAAGAATTGTCTAGAGGACAAAAATATGGACTTTAAGTGGATTTTCTTACCCGGGGCTACATCTTCAGTTGGCATTTCTAAATGTCTACCTTCTATTACAGACGTATTTCATGTATTTATAATCTTTTGTGTGCTGATGCCTTGAAGGGATTTTCCTGTGAAGGGAGCAACTTAAAAAGAAAAAATAAATTACTGATATCGAACGTTCTCTTATTTAGATTTTCTCATAGTTTTCAAATGTTGGACATATATTTGTCTTTCGGGGGAAGTAAGTTGGAAATAGGTAACTAATCTCTTTATTGCTAAAGCATTTTATTGATTTGCCATGAGTGGGTAAATATATCACATTAAAAGCTGACTCTGCTCCGCCGGAGAAGGCATGGAGGTGTTGGAATGGGAGAGGTGGCTGCAGATGGCGAGCGCAGATGGCAGAGATGAGTTTAAGTACCTTGTACACTATCCCTGTAATAATATTTTCAACCCCCCAGAAACCTATTCTTACGTTGGCTGTATTGTGTGTGGCTTTGTTTTTCTCTTGTTAAGAGGAAAAAAAATAAAGCAAACCCAACTCTCAACTTACAGCTCCAATCTGGACAACAGAGAATCATTTTGTTGTTTAAAAACCGACACTTAAAGCTTATTCATGAACAAGTCTCAGCATTCAAAAAATGAAAGGATTTCTTTTCAGCTAAAAATAAATGCTTTCTGTTGCCGTCGTTTTAGTGAACACCCAGGGTAACACTCAGGGTAACACTCAGGGTAACACGAAGGAACATGCTCCAGAGGGCAAGTGCCCCCGCGTGGACACCACCTAGGAACGTGCTCCAGACGGCAAGTGCCCCCGCGTGGACACCACCTAGGAACGTGCTCCAGACGGCAAGTGCCCCCGCGTGGACACCACCTAGGAACGTGCTCCAGACGGCAAGTGCCCCCGCGTGGACACCACCTAGGAACGTGCTCCAGACGGCAAGTGCCCCCGCGTGGACACCACCTAGGAACGTGCTCCAGACGGCAAGTGCCCCCGCGTGGACACCACCTAGGAACGTGCTCCAGACGGCAAGTGCCCCCGCGTGGACACCACCTAGGCATGGTTCTTCTGAAACAGATGCCTTTGCTGCTACCAGTTCGAGAAAGAACTAAAATTACAGTCTACTTCAATAACATTTAGAAGTGTGGTTTATGGCACTTTTCACCCCAGAAGTTCCTCTCTATAAATGTGGCCATGATTATAGAAGTGACACACACATGCTTGCATGCAGCATAAAAGCAGGCTTCTTTCTGTTTCCAGGAGGCCTCTGAAGGTGACTGTTTTTCTGCCGTTTATGGAGTGTTGTTTGCAATATAAAGTACTTTAAAAACCCACAGGGTATGTGGAAGGTGCACATGCTTTTGTGAGTGTGAGAGGGAGAGCACACCAACCGTAGTTATTTCAACTGTTCTGCAAAACCTGTGATGACTGGGAATCAGCTTCCAAAAGATCCCAGCACCAATTGCCTACAGGTGTGTGCTATGGAAGCTCAACCTCCCATGGCTTGCTACATTTTGGGCACAGAGTGGCCTCGTGTGCCCCCAACACTGCCCGCTCACACACAGCCATACCCTGCACTCACCTCATCCTTGGAGCTCCCCTTCCCACTACCTCTTTGGGCCTAGTCTACAACCCCAGAACATTCCTCATGGGTACTTTCAAAGGTCTGGGGTGGGTATGACTAGACATTGAAGAATCACAACTTTCCTACATAGGGATCATCAGAGCTTGGATACGGAATTAGAATCAGAAAAAGAGAACCAGCACACAAAAAAATGGGACTGCTAAACAGGTGAGAGACCAAGAGGCAGAGGCCACAGGACTCCTGAACCGAGCGCACAGCTTCAGCTTTGCTCACTGTCATTAGCTACACTAACGTTTCTGTGGTTTTTTGTTTTGCAAAAGCAGCTCATACTGAAAAATCATCCAAGATACAATGCTGTACTAGCAAGAACCGTTCTACCTAAAACTGCCTTGCTGATGTGAGTTCTTTCCTCACCTGATAATTTCTAATAACGATGTTATATTTGCACTAGAGATTTGGAATATTGAAATCCTTTGGTCCAGCTGTGTTTTATTATTACTTTCTTTTTTTTTTTTTTTTTTTTGAGACCGGGCCTCATGCTGTTGCTCAGGCTGGAGTGCAGTGGCATGATCACAGCTCACTGCAACCTCCACCTCCCAGGTTCAAGGAATCCTCCCCTCCTTCAGCCTTCCATATGGGCACACTGCCATGCCTGTCTAATTTTTTGTATTTTTGGTAGAGATGGGGTTTTGCCATATTGTCCAAGCTGGTCTTGAACTCCTGACCTCAAGTGATCTGCCTACCTCAGACCCCCAAAGTGCTGAGATTACAGGCATGAGCCACTGCACCTGGCCTGGCTCAGTAGTTTTCACAAAAGATGGTACACATATTACTGTGGTCAGAAAGATAAGTTTTTTTTTTTTTTTTTTTAAGACAGTCTTGCTGTTTTGCCAGACTGGAGTGCAGTGGCATGATCTTGGCTCACTGTAACCTCTGCCTCCCGGGTTCAAGCCATGCTCCTGCCTCAGCCTCCTGAGTAGCTAGGACTACAGGTGTGTACCACCACGCCCAGCTAATTTTTGTAGTTTTAGTAGAGATGGAGTTTCACCATGCTGGCCAGGATGATCTCGATCTCCTGACCTTGTGATCTGCCTGCCTTGGCCTCCCAAAGTGCTGGGATTACAGGCATGAGCCACCACACCTGGCCAGCAAGATAATTTTAATATTCAGACATCCTTTTAATGGTTATATATATTTTTTTTAATGCATATTAGAAAAAATATCACAAGCACATCAGTCACTGTACTTAGTAGCATAACTTCCCATGAGCTATCAGTGATGTCCCAAGCCAGGTCTGAATAGATACTTTCTGGGCCACCCTGTCAGCATATGAAAATCATGGACACTGATCAATGATCCCAGATTTCGGGAGAGGACTCTCCTGCCTCTTTGTCCTGGGACTATGGATAAGTGTCTCCTGACAGTATCACACCTGTGCAGCCCTGTGAAGAGGGAGACTCCCCAGCCTCGATGGCCTAGCCTTCAGCTTCACCAGTAGCTCTCCTTTCTCCAATCAAGCACAACATTAGTTGGGATTTTGCAATATTTAATCCAAAAGGAATCTGGCATCTTAAAAGTTAGGTTTACAAACTTGACACATTCTCAATATTAGCAATTTATCTATTTAAACATTTAAGAAAATAGGATCTATGAAGACAATAAGATACTTAAGAGTTCAGTATAAGCTACAACACTTTGCAAATAAGTATCCAGTTTAATTGTAACAAACCACAATTTGTGAGCAAATTTAAGTATATAAAAAACGTTAGTTAAATACAATTCTCTGGAAATATACATTATACCTGGAGCTGTATTTACAGTGGGATTCTTCCTTTTTTTTTTCCGTTTAATTATCAAAATGATAAATCACTGCACAGTCCTGGATCTCCATGCTATAAAACTGAAATACGTATTTCCAGCGTAGCAGATGGTGACCAGGAAGGCAAAGAACTGGAGAAAGCACAAAACAGAATAGAAGTGAGGTTTAGGGTACATCCCAATTAGCAAAAGTATCATTTCACCTCCACTGAATCATGAGCTCACCACCTTCTCCTGACACCAGGCTTTGCCATCTAAAGCTACTTTATTGGCTCAATTACTATCCTTCTCAAATGATTTCTGGCTATGCTGTTTTTATTTTGGGGAACATCTGAAAGCCTGTCGTTTTGCTCAGATAACCTCAGGGAGTTCACGTAGGAGTGAATAGAGCACAGTGCATCTGAGAAAAGTATCTCATTTCTAATTCAGCACAGGCAATCTAGGTCAGGGTTCAACCTCGGATTGCTACGGTGTCAGTTCACATAAATGACTCGGGTGGGCAGGAGAAAGCAATGAGCCCACAGGGTGCGTGTGGTGTGACAGGGAGCAGGAAAATGCAGGCCCTTCTTAAATAATGGGGCAGCCCCCATCCAGTTCTAGTCCATTCTTGCTATGTGGTAACTTGGGCCCAGTCTTGACAAAGCTTGTGATTTTTAATGTCATGGTCACCCATGTGCTCTATTTTTTTTTTTTTTTTTTTTTTTTTTTTGAGATGGAATTTCACGCTTGTTGCCCAGGCTGGAGTGCAATGGTGCAATCTCAGCTCACTGCTACCTCTGCCTCCTGGGTTCAAGCAATTCTCCTGCCTCAGCTTCCTGAGTAGCTGGGATTACAGGTGCCCACCACCACGCCCAGCTAATTTTTTCGTACTTTTAGTAGAGACAGGGTTTCACCATGTTAGGCAGGCTGGTCTTGAACTCCTGACCTCAGGTGACCCACTCTGCCTGCCTTGGCCTCCCAAAGTGCTGGGATTGCAGACATGTGCCACTGTGCCTGACCACTCTACTTTTCAACAGAGATCTTCAAATAGAAATAAAAGTAAAGAATATGATAAACCCCCATGAACCATCTATCAGCTTTGACAAAATCATTTTGGCATTTCTGTCTAATTGCCTCCCACTCTACCCCTGAGGCGGGTAGATCACTTGAAGTCAGGAGTTCGAGTCCAGCCTGGCCAATGTGGTGAAGCCCCCATCTCTATTAAAAATACAAAAAGCTGGGCATGGTGGCGGGCACCTGCAATCCCAGCTACTTGGGAGGTTGAGGCTGGATAATTACTTGAACCCAGGAGGCGGAGGTTGCAGTGATGGGAGATTGCACCATTGTACTCCAGCCCGGGTGACAAGAGCAAAACTCCATCTCAATAAAACGAAACGACAAGAAGAAACATAAAAGTAAAAAAAAAAAACACAACAGTTTAAACAGTAGCTGGGCATGCTGGCACAGGATTCTCATCCCAGCTATTCAGGAGGCTGAGGTAGGAGGACAGCTGGAGCCCGGGAGTTCCAGGTTGCAGTGAGCCATAATTACGCCACTGCACTCTAGCCTGAGTGATGGACCAAGACTCCTTTTCTTAAAAAAAAAAAAAAAAAAGTAGAAGTTCCTTGTCCCACTCCCCTCATTTCCCAATCCCTGGCTCTAGACAGACCCTTTACTGGTATATATTTTTCTACACATTCTCAATGCATAAACATGTTTTCACTTTAAAAAAACGAAATGGAATCATTCTGTTCGTTTTATTCAACCTTCCCACACTTAATAAATTGTAGGCAGTGGAATGGTGCTTAGCATGCTTGAAACGGGTTTTCTCCCTTGCATACCTGTCTCGTTCCAGTCCTTCCGCTTTGACTCAAGCAGTCTCCCAGCCTTTCCCACTTCAGGCCAGGAGGGCCCCCTGCCCCTGCCAGTTTGAGATATTTTCAAACCAACAAGCCAATTGCCAATGTCACGACTGCCAGTACTGCTTTTTCCTGCAGCTGACTCTGTCCTCCCCAATCCCAGGCGAGCCTTGGAGAGGGAAGAGGAGGATCGTGTGGAAATGGAGGGCTACTTACCGAGGAGGCCGCCCAGCTGTTGAAGTTGTGACTGTCCCTCTCAGGGGAGACGGAGGATGCATCCACAACAGCGGCAGAGAGGTACAGGACGAAGGCACTGCTGTTAAAGCACAGGCCCTGGGGGGACAGAGGGGCAGAGTGCTTGGGGGAGGGGTCTGCACTTCTGGACTTCAAAAGTGACCAGAGCTGCACCTCTGGTGTGGTGAGGGGCCCAAATGGACACTTGTGGGAGGGTGGGGGACAAGGCTGTGGGAACGCAGCTCTCAGGGCCTTGGGAGGCAGCAAGTGCAAAAGGAGAGGGTATGTTTTTTTGAGACAAAGTTTCACTCTTGTCACCCACGCTGGAGTGCAGTGGCACGATCTCAGCTCACTGCACCCTCCACCTCCTGGGTTCAAGTGATTCTCCTGCCTCAGCCTCCCGAGTAGTTGGGATTACAGGCATGTGTCACCACAGCCAGCTAATTTTTGTATTTTTAGTAGAGATGGGGTTTCACCATGTTGGCCAGGCTGGTCTCCAACTCCCGACCTCAGGTGATCCACCTGCCTCAGCCTCCTAAAGTGCTGAGATTACAGGCATGAGCCACCTCGCCCGGCCAAGGAGAGGGTTTTGCAGCAGTTCATACCAGCTGCCCCCCCTGCCCCTGCAAGACACCAAGACTGCATGCCGCCCCTTCAGTCATTGTGCTGCGTTGGTCTGCTCCTGAGCCCCATCTCATCCAGATGTCAGCTGAGCTGACAGACACTGAGGGTGGCAGGCAGTGGTGGGGGCCACACAGAGGGGTCGGCTTCAGCCCCTGACCCTCAGCAGCAGTGTGGCCCTTGCATGTTTCCCTGACATAGAGGTGCAATTGAGTGTCCCCCAAAACAGACCCAGCTGACTCCCTCAACCCCTGTTCCAAACAGGGAGGGATACTTAAGTGAGCGCCGGGGTCATAACTGCAAGTTCTTAAAAAGGCGGTTACAGACACTATTACAGCCGTTTGGGAACTAATGTCACCCTTGGCTTCATCTTGTATTTTCCTGTTTTTAGAGGAGATATGTAAGTCCCAGTACGTGTTTAGTTTTCGGTTATGCCTAACCTCTAAGAAACCACACTCCAAAGCTTGCTTAGGAAACCACGCAAAGCTGGGTCCTGCCTGAACACAGGGGTGGGGGCGAGGTGGAACCGGGGAGGCCTCTCCAGGAGCAGGGCCCCCTGTGGTCTAACATCTTTGTCTCAGTAACTTAGAGGAACGGGGAGGGGAAAGGGAGGAAGCAATCTCAGAGAAAAAAAAGGTACATGGAATTTTCCCACCGCAGGCTCTAGCACTGTGGCAGAGGTTGTCTGTCCCTGTCACCACCTCCACCTGTGCTCACATTGGCCCCGGGTTAGGGCACTTGACCTTTAAGATAAGGGCTTCATCACAGTCAGACCCAGGGGCAGGCTGCTGAAACTGTCCGCTAAGCAGCCCTGGCCTCACTGAATGACTCACTAGCATCCTTGGTTGTGTTTGTGTTTACTTTTTGGTCTAGAGACATATCTGTGCATTAACAAAACAAGCTGTTACTGGTGTCTTTTCCCCCATATCACCTCTTAGAATATAGTTATGTGGCTGGGCGTGGTGGTACATGCCTATAATCCCAGCACTTTGGGAGGCGGAGGCGGGTGGATCATGAGGTCAAGATTGAGACCATCCTGGTCAACATGGTGAAACCCCGTCTCTATGAAAACTACAAAAATTAACTGGGCATGGTGGTGTACGCCTGTAATCCCAGGTACTCAGGAGGCTGAGGCAGGAGAATTGCTTGAACCCAGGAAGTGGAGGTTTCGGTGAGCTGAGATCGCATCATTGTACTCCAGCCTGGTAACAAGAGTGAAACTCCTCAAAAAAAAAAAAAATAAAAAATGTGTGTGTGTGTGTATATATATATATATATATATATATATATATATATATATATATATAGAGAGAGAGAGAGAGAGAGAGAGAGAGTGTTATGTACATTTAGTACTTAAAAAGTAAAGGATCTCCCATCTTTTAAAAAATGTAAAACTCGGCCAGGTGCAGTGACTCACGCCTGTAATTCCCCATTTTGGGAGGCCAAGGCGGGCAGATCAGGAGGTCAGGAGTTCGAGACCAGCATGGCCAACATGGCGAAAACCCATCTCTACTGAAAGTACAAAAATACCCCAGCATGGTGGCAGGCACCTGTAATCCAGCTACCCAGGAGGCTGAGGCAAGAGAATTGTTTCAACCTGGGAGGCGGAGGTTGCAATGAGCCAAGATCATGCCATTGCACTCCAGCCTGGGCGGGAAGAGCAACTCAGTCTTAAAAAAAGGGAAAAATCATTATATGTAGTTACCTTTGAGGTACAAGAGCCTTCAGTTCTCATTTTGTATCCTTTTACAGTGAACGTTAAACTTATTTTTCTTTAATTAGCCATGTATTTACTTTAAAAACATTAAAATGCTTTTCTTTAAAAAAAACACGTTAATGATAACCTAAGAAAATCTACCCTGGACAGAACAATCTGGAATAAAAAGTTGGTGTCTCCTACTCCACCTCAACCCCTTCTTCTAGAGCACAGGCAAATATTTTGATAGAAATGGAATCACAGAGTTATATTTCTTGCTTTCTTTTTTTCACTAAAAAAGATATGCCAGGGCAGTGGCTCATACTACAATCCCAGCACTTTGGGAGGCTGAGTCAAGAATATCACTTGAGACCAGATGGGGCAACATAGTGAGACCCTGTCTCTTTTTTTTTTTTTTTTTTCAATTTTTTTTTTTTTAATAGAGATGGGGTTTCATCATGTTGGCCAGGCTGGTCTCAAACTCCTGACCTTAGGTGATCCACCCACCTCGGCCTCCCAAAGTACTGGGATTACAGGTGTGAGCCACCATGACTGGTCAAGAGCCTGTCTCTTAAAAAAAAAAATTAGCTGGGTATGGCAGCGTGTACCTGTAGTCCCAGCTACTTTGGAGGTTGAGGTGGAAGGATCACTTGGGCCCAGGAGTTTGAGGCTGCAGTGAACTATGATCATGCCATTGTACCCCTAGCCTGGGTGACAGTGAGACCCTGCCTCACACACACAAAAGATACCAAAGGCATCTTCACACAGCAGTCCACACAGACTATTTTCATGTCTTGTCTTACCACTAATACTTCATAATTTCACTTTTCGCCTATTGACGGGCATTTCCAGGATTGCAAATGCTACTGCAACGAACATCTTTGAGCCTGTGTTTCAGGGCTCTCATGCCCGTCTAGTTCTTCCTACGAGGAAAGAATGAGAATGCATGAAAGAGAATTCAGAGAAAGCTCAGCGGGGCCAGAACTGCCCGGACGCCCTGGGCCTTGTGCATGAACCCATGTGGATGAGAGGGCCAGAGAGGAGATGGGGAAAAGACAACTCTCTGAGTCTAGGACCTGGGAACATGATAAGCATGGCCCATTTTTCTGAACTCTAAAGAAACAAATTGCTATTTCCCTTGGATAGAAATGGGGAAGGGAAAGAGGGTTGGTAGAAACGTGAGTAGAAGGCAGGGGCATTCTTCCACCGTGCACCCCCGACACCAGGTCCCTGCCAGATTACTACAGGCCTCTATTTACCTGACTTCCCTAGTCTTGTTTAATACTACCAAGAGTGAACATGTCCAGAATACCTGGGTTGGAGGAACTGTAGTGAAAACAGGCGGAGAGACGAAAGAAAAGAGAAAAGCAAAGAAACTGGGATTGTCATAAATGTTAAGAAAAAAGAGGGTCGGGCATGGTGGCTCACACCTGTAATCCCCGCACTTTGGGAGGCCGAGGTGGGTGGATCACCTGAGGTCAGTGGTTTGAGACCAGCCTGCCCAACATGGCGAAACCCATTTCTATTAAAAGTGCAAGAAATTAGCTGGGTGTGGTGGCAGATGTCTGTAATCCCAGCTACTTGGGAGGCTGAGGCAGGAGAATTGCTTGAACCCAGGAGGCAGAGGTTGCAGTAAGCCAAGATTGCACCACTGCACTCTGGCCTGGGTGACAAGAGCGAAATTCCTTCTCATAAATAAATAAATGTTAAAAAAAGAAATCTGGGTGGCTATAGAAGTGAAGGAGGGATACATGAAGCTTCAGAGGGCTCTAGAATGTCACTGAGCTTCATAGAAACATGAGGTCTTGTTGCTATAGAGAAATAGGCCCTGGATCAGAGACTTCAAGCTCAAAACTCTTATTTATAGCTACTCCAATTGAAATGCCAGTTCCCTGGACCATGGTGAAAGACAGCTACAAGGACAATACAGTAACTGAAGATTTCTGCCAGGTGCAGTGGCTCATGCCTGTAATCCCAGCACTTTGGGAGGCCGAGGCTGGCAGATCACCTGAGAGGTCAGGAGTTCAAGACCAGTTTGGCCAATGTGCTGAAACCCCATCTCTACTAAAAATACAAAAGTTAGCCAGTCATGGTGGCGGGCACCTGTAATCCCAGCTACTCGGGAGGCTGAGGCTTGGGAATCACTTGAACCTGGGAGGCAGAGGTTGCAGTGAGCTGAGATAACACCACTGAGCTCCAGCCTGGGTGGCAGAGTGAGACTCCGTCTCAAAAAAAGAGATTTTCAACTTATTTTTTTGGATGAAGGTGGGGGGGAGAGAGAGGTCTACTCTTTTGAAAATCAATCCCTCCTTGGGATAAAAATGTTCTTTTTTTCCCTCAAATACTGGCTTATTTTTACCCAGTTATGCATAGTACTTGAGGACATATTAAGAGAAATCTCAGGTCTTAAGATAATGGAAAGAAGCCCTGAGATAATACACAGTAAATGTGGGTGTGGTGACATGACCAAGAGGGTGGCTTAGGAAAGAGAGTTTACTCCTATCTAAGGCGCAGGCAGTCAGAGCTGGTCTCGCAGCCTCAGGGTGACAGGGGCACAGGCTCCATCCTTTACAATACTCAGCCATCTCTAGGGTCTCACCATTCTCCACACGGCCCAGGAAGTGTCCCACTGCCAAAGCGGAGTCCCAGCCAATAGAAAGAGGAGGAGGAGGAGGGGGAGGAGAAAGGGAGGAGGTGGAGGAGAAAAGCAGCAGCCCTACTTTTGGGCCATGAAGCTTCACACATCACTGCCACTAATGTCCCCTCAGTGGGAACTCAGTCC